TTTTCCTTAGCTCAGGGTACATTCCTCCAAAGCCTACCACCTAGTCTTATATATTTGCATTACTTTTCGTCTACAGTCCTCAATATGCATCAGAACTTGATAATATTATATTCACCAGATCCTAGACTTTCTGTAGCTTCAAACTTACTTAACATTCCTGGCTGATTTGCAACCTCTAAGCCATACACTTTCTGAATAAAAATAATTTTTTGACTGGATAATAGTGAATGCAATATTATCTCTGACTTCATCCCAGATAGGATTTCACATGAAACATGGAAAGGAAAATATTGATAAACATCGTTAGAGAACTGTGAAGACATTTTAATGTTGGCTCAGGACTGCATTTCCTTTGCTACAGAAACGACATTATTGGATATGTGGTTTACAGAAATCCATTTGCTAACATGGCTCCTCAGAGAAGAGCAGTGGGGATGTGAAAATGTTTGGTATTTGAGTATAAGGCTCATCCAAATCTCTTTCCAAAGGATAAATAAGTAATTAATATTAAACATTATTCTTAATTACATACTCAATCATTGCAAATCTAGTGTTTGAATACTCATGTGTTCACAATTGTCCTGTTATTTGATTCAGAGTGGCAGAAAGGAAGTGTCATTCCATCTTTGCCATTTCCTCTGAACCTAATACAAGTCATAGAATGACGAGAAGCTCAGGTAAAAATGTCAAACTAGGTGTATTACATACAGCATTGTACCTAAAGCACAGGCAGGCAAACTGAGAAGATATCTCAGAAGAACATTCCTTCAATAACTGAAGAGCTTCTAAGATTAACCACAAAGGAAGTATTAGGGAGCTATTCAACACTGATTTTATTCCCCCACAGCTTGTCTATTTCTAAATCCCACATGGTGCCTGTTTTCTAGTTCTCTTATAATTGACAAAACTTGTTAGTTTAAGGTCTACATTTGAGTTTGGTCTAGCATCTATTCCATATACCTATATCTATATCTAATCGATAGATACATATATTCCATCTCTCTCTCTCTCTCTCTCTATCTATCTATCTAAAATCCAATCTGGTATGTATACATATATATCTATTCCATAAATATATAGAATAGATGCTAGACCAAACTCAAATGTAGACCTTAAACTAACATAACTCATATATCTATCTATCTATCTATCTACCTATGTATCTATATATATCTATATATATATGAAACTAACATAACTCATATATATATATCCATATATATGTTATGTTATATACATATATCCATATATATGAGTTATGTTATACATATATATATCCATATATCTATGAGTTTCTAAATTAGAAAAAATATCAATTCTCTCAACTGATAGAAAACTAACAGAAAAACGTAAGCTAAATTTTGTTGATACAAACACATTCTACCTTGACGTATTATTTGTTGAGTAATTAGCAGATAATAAACATTCCTTTACATTTTATAGGTAGCTCTACTTTTTGAGAGACATTGTAATGGCTGTATTTTATGTAGATTTAAGATACCATGTGATATCAGATAGTTATTGCTGAGAAGTGACAAAGAAAAGTGAATTTATGAAATTTCCATAAGTTATTAATGCAGAATTTTATTTTTAATGCTTTATTATTCTTCTAGCATTTGTGTATGGCAAATGTCAAACTGCCAAAAATATAGAGGATTTGGGTAGAGGTGGATTCTGTCACCACGTGACCCACGAGTCTAAGAGTATATAGACTCAATATTCTATGGCATATAATAAATGTTCTAAGCCACTTTCAAATACTGTTTGACCACATAATTAAGTTAAAGCAATAACTACATGGAGCAAAGAAAGCAAGCTTATTATTTTAGAGAATATGTCTGATAACATATTTAAAAAAGAGACAAATTCTTTTCAGGGAGGTAGAATTTGATTTAAATATGGATAAATATAGTGGAGGAAGACTTTCCTTTAAAAATATAATTTAAGAGTCACGTCGTTTCTAATTTCTCTTCTCCTTCCCCATTCTCTTTTCTTCCTTTATTTTCCCCTTTCTTCTCTCCTTCCCTTTCCTCTCCACTCCTCTTCTCTCCTGTGATTTTCTTATTTATTTATTTATTTTGAGACAAAGTTTTGCCCTTGTTGCCCAGGCTGGAGTGCAGTGGCACCATCTCAGCTTACTGCAACCTCCACCTCCTGGGCTCAAATGATTCTCCTGCCTCAGCCTTCCAAGTAGCTGGTATTACCTGCCACCATGCCAAGCTAATATTTTGTATTTTTAGTAGAGACAGCTTTCACCATGTTGGCCAGACTGGTCTCAAACTCCTGACCCCAGGTGATCCACCCACCACAGACTCCCAACGTGCTGGGATTAAAGGAGTGAGCCACCCCCCCGGCCTCCTGCGATCTCTTCCTGTATCAGGTGACTACTATACAAATGCATTCCATTAAATATATCGATATACTTGCCACTCAGTTTTCAGCTAATACTTCCTGGTGTTTTCCTCCATCTGAAACTAAGAATAATAACGCTTCACTATGACTTTTTTAGAAATGAAAAACTTATAAACAGTTGGCAACTGTTGCATAAATACCACAGTAATTTGAGGCTTGTCTGCTTTCTGGGTCTCATGATTCAAGGAATCTCTTATTATTATAGTTAGTGTAAAAGTAAGTACTGCAGAAATAGTGTTCTTTAATAGCACAGTGTGACATGAAGCAAAAAACATATATAAGACATAGTCATGTATCTCTTTTAAATTTGATTATGATAAGGAATTGGGAAGTAAATGAGCACTAGAACAGGTATTTAAATTTCTTGACTGATATAGAGAATGTCTTACGTGACCCTCAAAGCACTGTGACAGATAATCGATTGGTAGAAAGTGAGTTAACTGCTGCCTAGTGGGCATCAACCTTCAGCTGAGTATTTAAAGTGTCGTAGTATGGGCTGTTGCAGGAACCAGTTGCTACCTTCAAATTGATGTCTGAAGCCTGAAGTGTATTAGTTCAGCTATTAGATGGCAAAGAAACACTTCAGTTTTTTTTTTAATATAAAACAATAAAAACTTCTCATGATTACTGCTTCATTCCACTTTACACAAAAGTTTAAAAAAATCTTGGGAAATCAGCTATAGTTGAACAGAAAGGATAAAAAAAAAAACCTTTGAAATAGTAGCAGTCATTACCAAAAAGTATCACACAAAATGTACAGAAACGACTTACCAAAATGATATAAGCCAGGAAAAGTGTGTTGAGTTAATTTCAGTTTGTAGAAACAGGGACAAGTTTAGATCTATAAATTTTTTATGAAGCAATTTTGTTTCACCTGATTTGTATGTAAGTCATGAAAACTGAACTGCGTTTCTCTCCTATAAAGCTTGAGGCAAATTTGCCTTAAAGCCTAGAAGAACAGAGTGCTAGAATGTTCTTTTAGAGCCCTCTCTGGAAAGTTGTTTCTGTATGTGTTAGAGAACAATCATCTTGCTTCTGTCATTCTTGGTAGCTAAATGACAAGGTTTTTTTTTTTTTTTTGTTTTGTTTTCTAACAGTGATATTGAAGAATTCAAGTCACCACTAAACTTCGCAGTGTCATTTCTGCCAAACATATCTGACTTGACCAAGATTTGTCATTACGAGTTAAGGGTTAGGCCATTAAACTCCACTTAATCTGCTCATCTTCTAAATTCCAATCACTGAGACATTAATTATATATGAAACTACACGTTTATATTTGCAGTTAACTCGGAGCTTGGCTTATATAGTTTTGCTTTCTCATCCTTTGCCACAATATCAACAACAACAACATTTCTGTACACTTGGTATAATTTCTGTCTCTAGGGAGATAAAGGGTAACATGACACCCAACAAAGTGAATATTTATAATCTTTTAATTTGTGTAATTTTGGTTTCTACTCTATCAGTGGTATTCTTGGCCACAAAGTATCTAACCACATCAATAAATTATGTAGTAATGAAGCTAAATGACATCAAAGCATATATATATGTTTTAATAAAGTACAAAAGAGTAACTGAAAGGCAAAGGAAAAATATCAGTGTATAATGGTCTTAAGATTTGTTGGTATAATTATGCTAACAAGGACAAGAAACGTGCATTGTTGGGGTTTTTGTTTGTGTTGGATTTCCCAGTCTTTTCAAGTGTTCCCATTGAATTGCAGGCTGGGTCAGATCTCCTGAATATGGTGATGTCATTGCAATAATTTTTAGTATCATTATTAGTTGTAATAAAAATCACAAGGGTTATGATTTTAAAACTCCAAGAATCAATATTCAAATTCCATTTTGCTAAGACACATATGAAATGTAAAGTAAGATTGCATCCTTTGGGCACAATGAAGGAAGGCAGCTGAATATTTCACTAAATGACAGGCAAGAAACAAATTGTAATTAAAATCATGTCATGGATAATCTGCAAAGTGTTTTAGTAAATTTGAAATTGCATTTTTAAATGCTCAATTGTATATTTTGTTTCTCTCAATAAAATATGACTTTGGTCAGACTGGCATCTTTAGGAAGGAATGCATATTAAGTTTTATTCTAAAAATGTCTTTCAGGTTGCTACTTTCTGATTTCTTCAAATCATTTTTCTATAATGAAAGGATACTTTAATTAAGCCTCTATTAACTCCATGAAATTACTCTTTCTGTCAAGAACACTTAATTTTTAATTCACTTTTCTGGCCAATTCCAAGTGGCAAAGTGTCTGATGTCTATCCTTGTTTATTCTTGATTGACATATTTTGGATCTGAAGCTCCAATTATTACGTAAGTAAAAATTTTCTCAGAATAGGTGGCAGCACTGTGTGAATTGGGTGCTCAGAATCCAGATCTTTCTTCCACTTCCTTTGTGTCATTTTCACAGCATCAGGTATTGTAAATGTGGTCCCTGAATTTAAGAAGTCACTTGTATTTTTTTTCCACAATATATTTAAGAAATATTCATTTTGTATTTTGTGCCTATCAACTATGAGCTCAGTCCTACTGCTGTATGTGGTGGCAGAAAACATCACCTGAAATACCTACCAGCAGGAATCCTGGGGGGCAGAGATCCTCCCCCTGGCACTGGATGCGGGGCCTGGATGCTATTTAAAAACCCTGCCCTCAGGAAGCTGGGGCAAAGCGCCTCTACCCCAATGGCCGGGAAGGATCCTTTTAAGAGATAAAAATTGACATTAATCAAAGTCTTCTTTATGGAAAACTGTTGATCATTTACATGGAATAAAACCCAAAATCAACAAAGACAGCACATTTTACAAAGAAGTTATAAAATTAAAGGGATGGAATGCAGTTTTACTCACACATTTATAAAATCAACCTAGTTTCCTGAAAAGAAATCTAGTCAACTAGTTACAATTAAAGAGGGTTAGAAGCATCAGAGTGCTAGATAAAATTTCTAAACCTATATTTAGAACAGAAAGCTATGCTACTGAATAATAAAATGAATATTAATGCTAGTCACTGATGTTATTTGCAGAATTCATGCCCACGTCAGTTACAGGCACACAGAAAATAGCCATGATAAGATCTGATACATGTTGCATCCACAGGAGCAGTGCTTTTACTTTAGGGCTATCTCTATAAGTGCTTAAAATAAGGAAAACTTTTACATCATGCAGCAATTACATATTTTTGCAACAGGGACAGGAAAATTGATGCACACAATTATTAATTTGTTATGCTTTTCTATTAGGGATAAGACACGAGAGTTTGCAAAGGTAAAACCATATGCTTTTTCATTTTGAAGAAGAATATTGTAAAGCAAAGAAAAAGTAAGCGGCTTGGAAGTTTATCCATAAAATCATATAATGAATCACAGAATAAAAGAATGTCAGAACTGAAAACAGTCTAGAGATCATCTAGTTGAAAATGTTCATTTTAGACCAACAGACGGAGGCCTATAAAGAGGAGAGGCAGTGCCACGTGGCTGGTAACTACCAGGACAGACTTTTCCCGCCCTAGAATGAAAATAAATCATGAATACATTCCTATTTGCGAGGTTACTATCCTCTGAATATGAGTTAGAAACTCTGCACTTTGGAATAGTAACATTATAATTTGGCGTCTTAACTTCAAGATACTAAAAATCACTCACGAGAAAATTTAATACACTTGCAGTATCGGTGAACGGGCATCACTGGTAACTGATACGGCCAATCAAAGGAAAAAATCGCACTAAACTCCTCCCCCCCCCCAAAAAAAAAAAAAACCAAACGATTGACACCGATGGTTGTACGGAACGTATTTTGTTCAGCCACTCTGAAACGCCTCAGGCTACGTAGCTTCACGTTGATCCCTGGGGTTTTCCTTTAATGCTCAGATTTAGCAAGTTCTGTGTTTGTGAAGAGACTTCACTTGGTATTTTGACACAAACTCTCCACCAAAAATAAGTTAAAATTTGAGGCTTCTTTGAACTTGGGTCAGAATTAAAGGAACTTGGTACACCATATGTATCTTACATCCATGGAGAAAGTTATTGGTAAAGAAAAGCACTCCAGCCTGGCGCCTGGTGACAGAGTGAGACTCTGTCTAGAAAAAACACAAAAGAACAACAACAACAAAAAGAAACAAAGAAAAACTCCCATCTCTTAGATCTTCAGAAATGTTTTCATGAAAGAGCAAAGCTACAATGTGTATTTTAACCGGGGAGGCCCATATGTGTGCACTGGATTAAAGAAAGCTTAGAAGAAAATTAAATGCAGTGAATAAATTAGTTTTGTTTTTGATTTTATGGAGCTTTAGTGAAAGGGTCCTATGAGGAAGAGCTGGAGTCTCTTAAACATTAAGAGACAAGGCAAGAATGCCAAGTGGTAAGTCAGAAAGTGCTCTGAGGTCACTTTCAAGTAGTGAAACTAACTAACTTCCTTGTGAATGCACGGGATGTTTATCATTGAACACAAAGTTAATGTATCTCTGCGCAATGTTTCCCACACAAGGCATTTTCCACATTGGAAATGTTTCATCATTGTCTGAGATAACGCTCCTAATGAAGGTGCTTCATTGAATACCAAGTGGAGTGATCATATATTTATACAGCAGTCTTGTTTAACGTTGCAAGAGTAATGGTATTGTTACAACAGGGAAAACAATGACAACAAATGCAGATTTTATTATATGCTGTGAAAAGCTAAAATAATGCAATTTTAACTGATTATGGATTTATGGAAGTCAAGTAATAGGAAACTCAGTTCAAGAATATTAGATCATAAAGAAAAATAATAACATAGAAAAGAACAGCAAAGAAAAAATGATATAGATGAAATTAAAGAAAATTTGAAGCAAAATAAAAATATGTAGAGTAGTGGCTCTAGATAACTTTAATATGTTACACATTGAGATTCTTATCTTTTTCCTGTTTTTGCCAACATCATCCAAACTGTTTTCTTAGACAAGATGCCCATTATTTTAACTTTTTGAAGGAAACTAATACAAAAATTATTTTATTGTTGTGATTGTATTGATTACTGTTTTTGTTGTTGTGACGGCCTGTCATATTTAATAGCAGCTTTCATCTGCCTAAGCTTCCTACATCACTCATAATGGCTTTGCTATGTTTTTTTATCATGGGTAAAAAGGTCTTTCATTTATTGTGGCATCTCTTCCTTAAGAAACTGTCATTTTTCACAGCTGAAAAAAACAAACAAAATAGAAAAACTGGGGTACATGAATATATATTCAGGTGAGATATTATGTGATAGTAATGCCTTATCATTTTTCTTTTTGAGGTCAGTTATATCGACAGAGACTGCATGAAACACTAAAGTTGTAAGTTTTCACAATTTATACCAGAGAAATAGCAATTCTTTAATTCCCTTGTTTCTTAATCCACCAGGTGTTAAGTTTTGGGATTTGATATAAATTAGTTTTAGTCTTGTTTTCCCAATTGCCCAAGTTGCTAACTCTCTCTGCCTGTTTTCTTTTAACTAATTGTGGAATTTATTAATCAATTATATTGTAGCTAAAAAGTAAATGAAATCTAAAATGTGTGGCAGGAGCAATGTCCATTTCCACGAATATTTTGTTTTTAGTTACATTCTGTGGAGTATTTAATATAAATTAAATTTCATATGTAATGAGAGTATTTCTCTAGCCTTTGCAAGTTCAAGATACAAAATGTGTCACTTCATATATACTTTTCTAAAACTCTGATCTTGATTCTCTCCTTACTGCAGTGGTTCTCAACTTTGGTGGTAACTTCCCTAGCAGTGAGAGTTGCAAATTTGGACTGAGGAAAGTCATTCCTAGTATTCAGTGAGTGGAAGGCTGAAGTTGAAATAAGTGGTATACCCCCTGCAAATAAGAGAATTCTCCAAAGGATAGTAGTATCCACTGAGAAATACTGTACAAGAGTCAAAAAAAGTTTTTTTTAAAGGTGCTAGTTGATAGGTTATGTAATGAGACTGTGGGAAGAAAGCAGCTGACATGGCCTGCATGCTTCCATATGGCTTGATCAACTGAGGAGGCATTCTGACTACGCAGGTGATCTGGAGGTAAACTGGCCTACAGCACAACCGTTTCCAAATCATCCTAAAAATACATATGTAACACTTAATGAGGAGTGTCCAATATTTTGACTTCCCTGGGGCACATTAGAAGAAGAAGTGTCTTTCTCTGCACATAAAATACATTAACATGAATGACAGCCGAGCTAAAAAAAAAATGCCAAAAAAAATCTCATAATATTTTAAGAAACCGTAGTAATTTGTGTTGGGCCACATTCAAAGCTGTCCTGGGCCCCATGAGGCTCCCAGGTCACAGGTTGGACAAGCTTGACTTAAACTCTGTGAAACAAAATATCGTTTCTCATTTGATATTGTAGCAATATCCCTTAAATAACTCTATATTGTAAATTAAGTATCATTAAAAATTTGTGTATGTAACAAACTTGCACATGTATCCCTTAATCTAAAATAGAAGTTGAAATTGTAAACAAGAAATGAAATTTTCACATGTGCACTCTGAAGGCAAGTTGTGAAAAAACATTTGTGAAAAGATAAACTAACAATGAGCTTAAACTGTTTGTGCCTCAGTTTCACCATCTGTAAACTGAAAATTGTAACTGAATCTACCTCATGTGCTGTTCATGAAAATTAAATGAAGCAAATGATTATAAATATAAGCCATCATTATTATTTAGCAGTCTTAGTATTTCTTTAAAAAGAAACCTTTAAGCATAAAACTGAGATAAATTGATACAATTTCCTAATGCAGACTCCCCCACATACATATACAAACCTTTCATAGAAAACATTTCCTTCTTGGAAGATCACATATTAATAATTTACTTTTTATGCCAAAAAGTTTAATAGTAAGGACAACATCTCTGTAATATAAATGTTTGAGATATGACTCTTCAAATTGTTTTCATTAGGTTGCATTTTTGCAAATACACATTATTATCTATGAGTAGACAATAGATACACTGACTTAATAAAAGACAAAAAATTTAGAATTGAAAATTTGAAATACATGCACATATGTATGTGTTTGAGGTGGTGCAGAAAGATTATTTTACTTGTTACTATGTTTGGTCCTTTTCTGTTATACTTTGTTCAGTAATGAGTTTACTTTATACTAGTGTTTTTCAAAATTGGACAGGGGGTATTCCAACAGAGTGCATGAAAGATGGGCAGCAGAAGGAAAACACTGAAAATTCCATTTATATTTATGCTTTTCCTTAACCTTTAGTAATTGCTATGCTTATGTATTAATTTATAAATATATAATCATACTAGTTGATATAAACAATAAATAAAATATACTAACAATATCCCCTGTAAAACTTGCTTATTTTTATTGTTAGATGTGTATGATCAGAGAATTTTGGCAATCACTTATTTAAGTAACAAAACTGTGAGAAAAATGCCGAAGTAAGGATGAAGTAAATGATTTACTTCAAGGGCTTGAATAATCAGGGAAAAGCTTTGATTTTACTTGGCCCCACACAAGGATCTTAGAAGACCATGTTGCTTCTTACACAGTGGTGTTCCACCTTGGATATTCATTAGAAAATACATAATAAAGGCCCAAGTAAACAAGAAGAATATGGAAAATCCATTTCTTCAACTCCTAAAATGAGTTATACATCAACTACATTATGAAAATAAGGATGGTATATAAAAAGAGAAGGCCACAAAAACTCACTGGGAGCA